CCCTCACACAGGATGAGTCCAGGACCAAGCCCATCCCTAAGCCCCCCCTGGTTGGGAAGCACCAAGCTGGTGGTGTGTGCTGTGTTACATGGAAAGAGAAGGATCCCTGGAAATCAATTTCTGTGCCAGGAGCCATCCTGACCCCACTGTTGTGGGCAGCTTCCACCCATCTCTCCAGGATGGAAATCAACTTCCATGTGGGACACAGGGCCCCAAAAAGGTCATGTTCTATCCCAGAACTCCGTTGACCTGAGTGACCTTTCCATGCAGACCCAGGAGAACAGAGCAGAAATCTCAGGATGGCAGGAGGAGGGAGGGAAGCCTCGGGAAGGGGATGTGCCTGTGGTTCTGGGGAGCTCCTCCCGCTGCCCTCACCCCTTGGCTGGCTCTTTCACCTCCCACCCTGCTCCTCTGAGACCCCTGGGGATGGGCTCTGGAGGGGACCCAGGGAGAAGCCTCTGAGCTGTCAGAGCACCCTCTGTGTGTGGCCAAGACCGGGGCTGCTGGGCCAGCTGTGCTCCCTGGGAGCAGGGCTGCCTGTGGTCCTGAAATCCCATCCTTTTCCCTTGATTTCCAGCTGCTCTCCCAGGAGCCAAGCAATGGCCTCTCCTCAGACCCTACAGTGCCCCTGGATCGACTCGCCGTCATCTTCAGGTGAGGAAGGAGGAGCTGGGGCACAACTGGGGCAAAGCTGCTCCCCAGAGCCCTGACCCTGAATCTGTGCCTGCTCCTTCTCCCCAGCCCATGGGGAATGGGCTGGAAGCTGCTGCTTCCCCAAGTTCCAGCTCTCCAGCCCCCCGAGCCTGTTCCTGGTCCCCTTCCTGCAGCTCCAACCCGTTTCCTCAGCTTTAATCCCAACGCCCCTTTAATCCCTGGCTGTTCCCACAGACACACCAACCCCATTGTCGAGAACGGCCAGGTCCACCCGTGCCAAAAAGTCATTCAGGAGGTGCGTGGGAGCAGCTGGGATTTGGGGAGGGGGCTTGGGGGGTTCTGGGTGTGTCATACAGGGTCACTGTCCCTGGGTGTTGGCAGATCCACGTGTCCGATGGTGCCTCTGCCCAGGGGAGAGGAGCTGGGGAGTGTTGTCCCATCCCTCCTGGAATCTGGGGAGCGTGGGGGGAAATCTGGGTCTTCGACTCCCTGGAAGGGGCCCTGGGTCTCGGGTCTCTGATTTCCCTGCCCATATCCTGTTTGTGCTGCACCAGAGCAGATAAACCGCTCCAGGCTCCCCGAAAGCTCCTGTTCTCCCACAGCCTCCTGCCCGCGCTGGGATTCGGGTGTCCTGGGGATCGGGAGGGGGTTGGGGGTGTGTCCCGGGGTCGGGTGTGACCCTTCCCGCCTGTCCGGGCCCAGATCTGGCCGGTGCTGTCGGAGACCCTGAACAAGCACAGTGCCGACAACCGCATCGTGGAGCGCTGCTGCCGCTGCCTGCGCTTCGCCGTGCGCTGCGTCGGCAAGGGA